GCTCGAGGTGGGAGGGGGAGCGAGCTTTGCCGCAGTGCAGCCCGCACCTGCTCAAATCGCCACATGCCGGGGGTGTCGATCCTGTGCCTGCCTCTAGCACAAAACTTGCTTGAAATCCAGGCTGCTCTGGGCCTTCCCCAGGTTCCCAGACTCCTGCCCTCCCCTCTCCCCCCAATTATAGCAGCCCCACCCCTTCACTTCTCTTCTCCGCAGCCGTTCAGGCAAGATTTTCTCCTGCTTGCTTTCATTTGGATTTAATTCCCACTAAGCTCTTTGCGACAGTGCCGAAGCCTGGAGGGGCTGTCAGTGGTGCAGGGAGATAAGCTGGGGGCCCGTTCACATTGGCTAAATTATGCCGGTATTCGAGGACGGCAGGGGAAGGAGGACGACGACACGGGGGGGAGTCACCGACTGTCACTGCCAGCCGGGAGCTCTTGCCCGCCGCAGCATCCAAAGGGATTTCAGAGCATGAGCCCCCCTAGCTACAAATCCAGCTCCCCACCCCCTATTTCCAGCTCGGTTCTACCAAGCGAGGTGCTTGCCTGAGCCCTTCGCTGTCATTAGCCTCACTATTATCCGGGTGCGAATCCCACCTGGGCTACAGCCTGTTGGGTGACGCAAGAGGTCTGGTCTACATCCCAGCCACTGAGCAAATCCTACAGGGCATCAGCCTCTTACATGGCCTCTTTGCGCCTCAGTTTCCCCCTCTAGTCTGATTTCCTGTATATCACAGGCCAGGGAGGAGCTCCAAAATAATTCCGAGAGCAGATCTTTTAGGAGAAACAGTAGCACAGCCAGGAATAGAACCCAGGAGTCCTGACTCCCCAAATAACCCTGCTCTCCCCACTAGATCCCATTCCCCTCTCAGACTATAACCCTGCAGTCCTAACTTCCAGATCCAGGCTCTAACTGCAGTTTGACTTTCAAGAGTCCTCCTGACACTCCACGGAGCAGCACCTCATCTCACCAGCTACTTGCCTGGTCATTGGCCTTGCTCAACTACTGGAGGCAAACAGAACTTAAAAAACAAAAATGAAACGGGGGGCAGCAGCTGACAGGTGCCATGGGTGAGGGCTGCAGCCTCCACAGACCTGGCTACGAATCCTAGCTACTGGCACCAGAAAAGAAAAACAAAAAAAGGGCCATAAAGACTGAAGTCCACTCTCATCCCTCGCAGGACAAGGCTAGGGCATCAGGGTATTGATCTGGGTGCACCTCACAGTCCACCGGGGATTTATCCTACATGGGGTTGGGATGGAAAGACATGGGCTGAGCCGGGGAGTCTGGGGGAAGCCCGGGGCTGGAACAGCAGAGGGCTGCAGGTTGGGATTGAGGGGCACCCAGGCCCCTGACTCTAACCACTAGACCCCACTGCCCTCCCAGAGCGGCGACTAGAACCCAGGAGTCCTGGGGTTCCTGGTCCCTTCCTGCTCTCCCCACTAGACCACTCTCCCTCTCACAGCCCGCCCTCGAAGGAAGCGAGGGGGATGAACCCTTCCCCAGTTATTGAACCTAGACTTAAAGGCACGAGAACTCCCTCGCCCCTGGCTCCCTGGGCTCCAGCCCATGCTCTGCTTCACCAGCTGTAACACTCCGGGGGGGGGGGGGAAGCAATACTTCATTTAAAGCTCTGCTGTTTCCAGCCGTCACACCAACCCAACAGCGCTCGATCCTTTGGCCAGCACTCTGCCCCTCACTAGGGAGAGGCAGCTACTGACCAGGCCTGTATGGAACAGGATCTCCCACCCCAGGCTGCCCCCTCCCTCCCAAGCCAGGAGCCTTCCTTGTAGCCAGGGCCAGCATAAAGGAATCTGGGAGGCAGCAAAGGACAGCATATCAGGCAGCAGAGCTGCTCGAGAGGAAGGCCGGCCTACTGGTTAGGGCTCCAGCCCTAACCCTCAAGAGGCCCGCATTCAAGTCCCGGTTCTGCCAGTAACTTGCTGCGTGACTTTAAGCAAGTCACTTGCTGCTCTGTGCCTCAGTTTCCCCACCTGTAACTATGGCTCACAGGGGGTTGGGAGGACCAGTCCTTTCATGACTGAGGCACGGATACACTATGGTGGCGAGGGTCAGGCAGAGCCCTGCCCGCACAGGTCCCATTGCTCCTTCAACTACTGTGCTGCAGACAGTTGGCCCTGGGGTTCTGGTCCAAGCTCTAGAAGGGGAGTAGGGGCAAGTGGTTTCCGCAGAGGACTGAGTGTCAGGATTCCTGGCTTCTACTCCCAGCTCCTTCACCAATTTGCTAGGTGACCTAGGGCAAGTCGCCACCTCAATATCTGCCTCAGTTTCCCCATGTGTAAAGCAGGGATAACGATACAGACCCATCTCCTGGGGAGGCTTATTCTGGAGGGACAGCGCAGCCTTAGTCCCCCAGGGACCTACCCAGAACCCTTCCCTAGGGGGCAAGGGGCTTCCTCTCCTGGCTCCTAGGTTACGGCAGAGCTGCCTGCCGCGTATCCCTGCCTGCCTGCTCTGGGAAGGCAACACCCCATCCCCCAGAGGAGGTGGCGACCGGGGTGCAACTCTGACAGCAGCAAGCGTGGCTGCACTAACCGGGGACGGAGCCCTCTCACCCCTCCAAAGACACGGACATGGAGGGAGATCTGGGATCTCAGTCTGGGCTGAAGAGAAAATCAATGGCCCAAAAGAGCCGCTAGCCACCTCCATACAACCCAAACGCAAAGGCCTGGCCCAGGCAGGGATACTGTCATACCCAGCTCGGGGGGGGGGGGGGGGGCGTCCCCTGAAACAGCCTCCTGGGGGGGGGCCTCAGGAGCTGCACCCCCTTCCCCCACACAGCTGGGGCATGCCGTCTCTACCCGATAGGGGACACTGCCTCCAAGGGGAAGCCAGTGCATCCTCCCTGGCCCGGGCATGTCTTGCATGTCTGGTCTTGGAGCCGGGGGCTGCTAGCCAAGAATCTTGCAGCGGATTCAGCTGTGGACTGAAAGCCCCTCCAGACTCCAATGCTCTAGTTAGCCAGAGATGTGGCAGCAGGACACAGGTAGCCCCCACCCCTCAAGGCTCCCCAGCCACACTGCCAGTGTCAGAGGGTCGGGGTGGGCTGTTGGCTCTGTCTGGGACGTTCACTCCTCAGGCTGCGTGGCGAGGAAGGCCTGTGGGCCACGGAGGAGGCTCTCCCACTTCAGGCAGCAGACACTCTAGGTGGCGGGGGGGGGTGTGCCGGTTCCTCCCAAGCTGGACCAAATCTACAAGTTATCGATATTGGTCCGTCCTCTCCCTCCCCTGCCGCCCCTCACAGCTTCCTTGGGCCTGCGTCTCCCAGCTGCACTGGCCTTTCCCACCAGGCTCCCGTCAAGCGGGCACCAACACTGACTCAGCAGGAATCAAAGCCCGCAGGGACACACTCAGGAGAGAGCCAGGTGCCAGACAGCTAGTTCCCGAGACCCTATCTTCATGCCCGTGCAGGGGTTGGGAGGAGAGCTGCTGGCCTTTAGCCACCGGGACGGACAGTCAGGGACACACAACGGACTCAGGACAGAGTGGGCATGTCTCAAAGCCGAGGGAGGGGCTGAGAGTCAGGACTCCTGGGTTCCAATCCCAATTCTGGGAGGAGTGCGAGGTCTACTGATTAGAGCAGCAGCCTGTGGGAGTCAGGACCCCTATGTCCTATTCCCAGCTCTCTAACTGTATGCGAGACCCAAGTCATTTCACTTTGCTGCTTCCCAGGGGAAGGATATTGACCAGCCTTAGGGGATGGACCACGGGGCCTGACCTGCAAGACACTTTGAGATTCTCCTGCAAAGAGGTGAAGAGCCATGACAAACCAAATCCAGGACTACCAAGGACTTGGTGGATTTCAATAAGGCACAGGGCAGATAGAACTCAACCTCTCACCCCAAAAACCAAGTCCCTGCCTCTTTAGAACCCCCGTCCGCTGTTAGCAGTACAGGGGCTATGAGACAGAGCTTGGGAGATCCGATTCCATCTGCCAGAGAGCAGTGGCATGCCTCAGACACACACACACACAGCAGCTCATTAGCTGCTGCAGAAATAACGTGAGCCAAAAATGAAAACCCCCATTGGAGGGGCGGGAGGAGGGTACAATGCACCCACTGGGAAAGCAATTTGTAGGACCCTTGTGGAGAAAGACTACCCTGGGTTCACACAGCACAGCCAGGGCAGAAACCCCAGTTGCCATGTGCTAGGGGAGAGGCAGAGAAAGCTGCTTGAGCCTCTCCCAGCTTTCCAAGGTGGCCTGCAGCCATGGGCCAAAAGAAAAACACAAATTGCAGACATGCCTGGCTAATCGGGGCCCGGATCCCATTCTGGCCATGCCCTGTGTGCACGGTGGGTTCAACCTGTGCTATTAAACCAACAGGGGTCTGCCTGGGGCTGGGAGCCACTTTTACCACTTTTGCCCCCAACAGCATGGTACAGAGCTGCAGCACACCAGTCGAGAGCCCAGAAGGGAGAATAATCTGAATTCACACTCGGAGCCAGCGTCCTCCCCATTTTGGTGGAAGTGCAACTCGGGGCTTCTGCAAAACCCCATCCGCTATCCCACTGCACACACCAATTACTCTAATCTCATAGGAGCTTGGGACAGTGAGGGGGCTCTCTGCACACGGAATCCTGAGCCTTGCAGGTGGTGGTGGTGGTGGTGGGCAGACCCAACTGAAAGGTTTTGTAGCCAGGGGGGCTCCCCAAAACATTGGCTTGAACCGGCAATGCGCTAACCTTGAGAGTGCTGTGCACTCAAAATGACTTCACACAGCTCTCCACAGCAGAGCACTCCCACGTGCATTTGGGAGCAGGACACCAAGAGGGGTGGGGATGCCAAACTAACTTTCAGTCACGAGGACCCCTCTCCACACTGAGCCAAAGGGAGTGCCTATATCTCTCTGCCTCCCTTCCCAGCATGCACTGCTTCGGGCCTATAGTGGCTAGGCTCCCTCCGGGAACACGATCCCCCAGAATGCCTCTTTCCCCTTTGAGGGTCAGCATCCCCCCGCCCTCCTGGCATCCCAAGGACTTACCCAGCATGCCTTTGTTGGAGTCTGACAAGCACATGTCCTTCTCGGCGCTAGGGAGGACAAAGCCCACCACGAAGACCTCCACGCCATCGGCCATGAGGGCCAGCCCCAGCACAAAGTAGAGCGTCCACTGGAAGCGCCCGTGGCCGCACTCCTGCAGGATGAGCTCATACTGCTGGGCCAGCTCCTCCTTGTCCTTCTTCTTGTCCCCTTCCAAGTCCTCGAAGTCTCTGAACTCGCTCACCACCTGCTGGTTGTCGGCCAGGTGGTCCCCGGCCTTCAGGGACTCATTTCGGGGGATGCCCTGGTACTCGCCCTCGTAGATCTCGTCATCCTCATCATGCCCTTCGGTGGCATCGCTGGAGGCCCCTTCCTCGTCGTTGGCCGACTCGCCGCGGTAGTAGCCATCCTGGGGCTGGTAATCCTCATCCTCCTCATCCTCCTCGAAGCGGGAGTAGGAGCGCTTGGTGTATTCATCCTGCATGCGATCCACGCCCTTGCCCATCTTCTTGGTGGCATGCTTCTTCACCTCCTTGGCAATGTCCTTTGCCCCTCGGATGAAGGCCGTGCGGTCCCTGAACCCCTCATCCATGGCTCTGCCCTGGCCGACGCCCCACCTTCAGATCTCACAGGCGTGAGGAAGAAGAGGATGGGAACCGCCTTTGACGAGGGGCGGGGGGTGGAGGGCAGGTCTTCCTGGATGAGCACGCAGGGCCCCTCCCCGTCTCCTCAGGCCAGGGGGCAGCGGTGGGAATCTTTGGCGGGCAAGGAGGACGCAGCTTTCCAACGGCGGCCAATCGAGGTCACTGAACCGCGACCCATTCGCTTAATCCAGGCTTGAGACGCCGGAGCAGCCAGGCAGGTCGATTGGGCGATTCTCCCTTGGGTGGCAGTAGATGGAGACGGTCCTGGGAGGGTAACAAACACAGAGGGGGGCGTTATCAGGCAGGAAAGGGCATCCGTGCTCCCTCTCTCAAGAGCCAGTTCCCAGCGGAGGAGGCTGCTGGCTGTACTGCGTGGCTGGGGAACAATTCAATTCAATACCACGTGGCTGGGGAACAATTCAATACCTAGCCCCTAACGTCGAATGAAGGACCTCAAAAACGCAACAGGCAAAATTACAGACAAGGTTTTTCAGTGGTTTGCCAAGCAGGATGCGAGACGTTGGCAGAGGTCCCCTGAAAACCCACATTTGGAAAATGATTAAAATACGCTGACAGGGCAGCTGCTCCGCTGTAGCACTTTGAGGAAGACGCTCTAAGCCGAGGGGCGAGAGCTCTCCTGTTGGCACCACAGTGAGAAGCAGTAGCTAAAAAGCAAGATGACAATGAATAACTGAGGATGACCCAGGCAGAGCGGACGATGATACCAAGACATGAGGCCAATTGCTGAATGGTAAAGAAGGAGGAGGATGCGTTCGTTTGATATTGATGGAATGTCCGTGGTTTACTTTCGAATAACTAACAGGGTGCCTTGCCCAGAGGCTGGAGAGCTTGGGGCTAAACCAACCCTGATTACAAGATGGGGCCCACCTGAGGGGAACCAGGTGGTCCAATGTAAAAGGCAGGAGGAAGGGGCAGGGGTGTATCTGGGTGAGAGAGAGAGAAAGGAAGAGCGAACAAACCAACGAACACACAAACACTAACTTGGAAGCAGGGCCAAAGGGCTCCAGCCAGAGAGAGCTGGCAGAAGCAGGTGGAGCTTACGATTGGGGGCTTCCTTGATGACTGGTTTGGATTATTTTGCAGTTAAGGACTCTGAGCTTTGCATGAACTTTATTTGCCATTAAGCCAGCCTGAGTCAGGGGTGCTGTGAGTCACAACACAGGCTATAGATTTCAGAGTAGCAGCCGTGTTAGTCTGTATCCGCAGAAAGAAAAGGAGTATGATGAGATTACTGGCTCTGTGGATGAGGGGAAAGCAGTGGATGTGTTGTTTCTTGACTTTAGCAAAGCTTTCGACACGGTCTCCCACAGTATTCTTGTCAGCAAGTTAAGGAAGTACGGGCTGGATGAATGGACTATAAGGTGGGTAGAAAGCTGGCTAGATTGTCGGGCTCAACGGGTAGTGATCAATGGCTCCATGTCTAGTTGGCAGCCGGTATCAAGTGGAGTGCCCCAAGGGTCGGTCCTGGGGCTGGTTTTGTTCAATATCTTCATAAATGATCTGGAGGATGGTGTGGATTGCACTCTCAGCAAATTTGCGGATGATACTAAACTGGGAGGAGTGGTAGATACGTTGGAGGGCAGGGATAGGATACAGAGGGACCTAGACAAATTGGAGGATTGGGCCAAAAGAAATCTGATGAGGTTCAATAAGGATAAGTGCAGGGTCCTGCACTTAGGATGGAAGAATCCCATGCACTGCTACAGACTCGGGACCGAATGGCTTGGCAGCAGTTCTGCGGAAAAGGACCTAGGGGTGACAGTGGACGAGAAGCTAGATATGAGTCAACAGTGTGCCCTTGTTGCCAAGAAGGCCAATGGCATTTTGGGATGTATAAGTAGGGGCATAGCCAGCAGATCGAGGGATGTGATCGTTCCCCTCTATTCGACATTGGTGAGGCCTCATCTGGAGTACTGTGTCCAGTTTTGGGCCCCACACTACAAGAAGGATGTGGATAAACTGGAGAGAGTCCAGCGAAGGGTAACAAAAATGATTAGGGGTCTGGAACACATGACTTATGAGGAGAGGCTGAGGGAGCTGGGATTGTTTAGTCTGCAGAAGAGAAGAATGAGGGGGGATTTGATAGCTGCTTTCAACTACCTGAGATGTGGTTCCAGAGAGGATGGTCTAGACTATTCTCAGTGGTAGAAGAGGACAGGACAAGGAGTAATGGTCTCAAGTTGCAGTGGGGGAGGTTTAGGTTGGATATTAGGAAAAACTTTTTCACTAGGAGGGTGGTGAAACACTGGAATGCGTTACCTAGGGAGGTGGTAGAATCTCCTTCCTTAGAAGTTTTTAAGGTCAGGCTTGACAAAATCTGGCTGGGATGATTTAATTGGGGATTGGTCCTGCTTTGGGCAGGGGGTTGGACTAGATGACCTCCTGAGGTCCCTTCCAACCCTGATATTCTATGATTCTATGAGTACTTGTGGCACCTTTAGAGACTAACAAATTTATTTGAGCATAAGCTTTTGTGAGCTACAGCTCACTTCATCGGATGCATGCAGTGGAAAATACAGTAGGGTGATTTTATATACACAGAGAACATGAAACAATGGGTGTTACCATACACACTGTAGTGAGAGTTATCAGGTAAGGTGAGCTATTACCAGCAGGAGAGAAAAAAAACAACACCTTTTGTAGTGATAATCAAGGTGGACCATTTCCAGCAGTTGACAAGGCTATGTGGAGTACTTCTGGGGTCTGCCAGAGGGGACTAACAAGAGTAAAACCCTTTCAAACACTCCCCCGGGCACAATAAACAGCCACACTGCTACAGACAGCATAGACGGGAGGATGGAAAAACAAATCATGAAAACGTGGGTCGATGGAGAACTGGGTATGTGTGATGTTAAATAACGGTGGCTGCAGGAAAGCTAACGACTCTAACGTGGAAATGTAGAAGAACCAAGTGAAAGAGGGCCCAAGTCAGAGAAATACCAGACCGGAAACGGAAGGAATGAGACTGAAGGAAAAGCCTGGAGGCCAGAGAGTGAGACAGCCATCAGGAAGGATAGGAAAGCGTCCCAGAACTTGGGTCCGCACCTGTTCCATTTTCTCTCTCTATTGTCTGGCATAAACATATGATCGGAAACTATAAGTGACAATTGTCTGAAAATGTATAAATAAAGATGAAAATTGATTAAGCCTAAATTAAGTGGACTCATGCCTCAGTTTCCCACCTTACAGAGCCTAACACCATGGGCTCTGTGGTAGATTGAATTTGTGTTAAAATCACAAGCTATCATTTGAATTTGCAAGCTAGAGGGCTCAGCCAGGAAGTGTCCAGTCAGAGTCAGCTCTGCAGAGAGCCAGCTTAGAATAAGGTGGGGTGAGTTGTGCTGCTCCACTTTAGGGAGCAGCCTGCTTTGTCTCTCACTGGTTTTGGGTCCCTGGGTGTTACCATTCTGGAGTTTAAGTAATAAAGTCATGTCCCAGGGCAACCTTCCACCAAGAGTATTCATGGTTTTTATCTAACTTTCCTGTGCGTATGTCTAAACATAACAGGGACCCGATCCAGGACTGGTGCTTTAGGTGCTACCATAATACACCTAATAGCAATGAACATGTACAGCGCCTAGCACCATGGGGTCCTGGCCCATGGCTGGGACTCCTAGGTGTTACGGTATTACAGATAAATAACTTTTAAAAGATCCCCATGTTCTCCAAGCCAGGATTCCAAGTCATTAGTAATTTTGGAGGTCCAATTTATGACACCATGGAAGAGAGGGATTTTCAGACAGTGCTGACCCCCATCCTCTGAAAACAAGGCCCCTCTTAGGTGTCAAGTCTTGCCAGTGTGTTTGGGTGCTCCTTTTGAAAAGCCTGGCTGGTATTTTGCTTTTAACCAGCACCTTCTGTCCATGAAACAGAAGGAGCTTGGCCAATGCTAACTCAGCCCCATTGCTTCGCTATGAAATGGCCTTGGCCTCTAAACCATCTGCTGTGGAAATGCAGACATCCCTGGGGTGGGACACAGGGGCTGTTTAACAGCCGCATAGCACACGTTTGAGACAGGAATTGAAGAATGCTATGAGACCACAACTGCAAGTGGAGACGTAGGACAGCAGAATGTAAAAGGCCCTGTCTTCCTGGCCCCAGAAGTCAGCTTCATAAACACTAACATATCACCAGGGCTTTAGCCACCCACAAGAGCTCAGGATCTTGGTCTCCCACTGCATCAAACAGGTGGCCCCTCCAGCTGCACAGTTCCCTAGCACCGTGCTGAGCCACTGACTCCATACCAAAGGGAAGAGCGCCCCTGCGGCATCACCAGTGTCACTTCCTATGCCACCAGGGTCCTGCTTGGAGATCTACCATCCAAAGATCAATGTAGCCCAACCATGCTTAGCTTGGAAAAGCCGAGTCATAGCTGGGGATGACCTGTGGCAGCATGGAAATTGATTATTAATATTGTCTATATAAGAATCCCCATATCTAGCTCTGGTCATCCCCAAGCTATCCAGAAACTCTCCCAAGCCAAGTACGGTTCAGATAGGTTGATATTGGGATGAGAGATCTCACTATTTATATATAGTTATTCTCAAAGGTGCCATCAGCTGACAATCACAGACATAGTCCATGGCTGTTCCAAGAACTCCCTTTCAGAATCAATGGAAGGAGCAGTTAAGCCCCTTTATGTAGTCGAGACAGCTACAAACAATGGAAGGACTGCCCAAGGCAGGTCAGAGCTGAGCTTGATGGGCTTGGGAGCAAGGGGGGTGTGGGGGGGTATTCCCTAGCTGCAAGTGCAAGGGCTAAGTTATCAGTTTTGAAGGCCTTGTGTGTTGGAGGCAGAGAGGCAGGAGAAGCAGTTGTGAGCATGATCCTGGGAGGAAGCAGAGAGAGAGAGATGCTTGGGCACAGTGCTCGCTGGAGTGGCAGACATGGGAATTTCTGAGCAAGGAAATTGCCTGCTGTTTGTTGCTCCCGGGTTCAGGCAACCAGGACTCTGAGGACAATTTTTTTTTTTTAGTGGTAAATAATCAAGGTTCCCCCCAAACAATATCCCTGGCTCGTATCAATATTTTACAGTGCAATTTCCCTTAAGCAGCCATTCCAGGGCTCAAGAGACAGAGCTTAACAGGGCTGAGCCTTCTTATTAAGGGGGAGGAAATTTTTCAAAGAGCAGTGGTGAAAGTTGGGCTCTTAGATCTCCAGTTAAGTCTCTAAATAAGGGGCCTGATTTTAAGAAGTGCTGAGGACCCAAGAGCCCCCATTTGGCCTCAGATAGGAGCTGCTGG